GTAGTGTTGGGAGGTATGTACAAGTAGGCTTGAGGCTTGGTAAGCCTCCAGGAAGAATAACCAAACCACACGGCCTTGAGAGGTTGATGACACCACAAAATCTCTATCAATGACCGGTTCCTAGTCAGACATGACAACTGCAAAAGAATTGTTACTGGTAATCAATGAGAAGAAACTGCCCTCTTGTATCAAGTTATAGTAGCTAACATTAAAAATTGAAATAATCTTATTTTTCAATTAAGATTTTATATCGCTACACCTTAAATAAGGATTCATTTGGAGAATAAGAAATGAATACACATTGTTCAACTTAAGAATATTTAGGCGGACTTTTCTTTTATTGAAGTAATATAAAAAGTTTCAAAGTACAGTAAAAAGAGTGACATAATATCTGAATACAAACATGTAGACTTAACAATTACGAAGAGCTTACCATTCAACTTAAGAATATTTAGGCGGACTTTTCTTTTATTGAAGTAATATAAAAAGTTTCAAAGTACAGTAAAAAGAGTGACATAATGAATATCTGAATACAAACATGTAGACTTAACAATTACGAAGAGCTTACCATATTCGTTTCACGTTTTGTATTGAGAATATTGTAGATTGCAGACCTACAATATTTCAGTATGCAAGTACTAAAAAATGAAACTACATTACCATATCGCGCATAACGCACTTGACGAAAACTGCTATGTATCATCCCAATACTCAGTTAGGAGGGGTTTTCAAAACCAATTATTGTCAGAAGGTAAGGATATGTGGGCACTGAGAACACGCCATGAAAAATAACATTTATGTGGCTAAATATATAGAAGTATTCCGTGATAATCAACAAAAGTATACCCCTCGTAAAAGAGGAAAAGAAAATCCTATTTCTTCTGTAAAACCATAAGGAGTGTAAACCTAAAGTTACGCATGAGACAGCTTCCCCGCACCTCTGCCTGGGTGCACCAATATCTCCAAACTTTTCCTATGACCGCACATTGGTGCTGTGAATCTGTAAGAATTACTGAACCCAAGACACTGCATCTCTGCTTTTCTGATCAGATACAGACATGTGTGAAGCGTCCAGATGATCAACCTTCAAGCACTAAAAAAGAATGCTATCCCCAAAGGCTGTGACCTTCCTGACTTTTGAGGAATCTGGTGATGGCTCTGACCAACATGGCTCTTTCTCCTTCTCTGCCTTCCAGCTGTGGTCCTTTGGGGCCCCTATGAAGCCCCAAGACAGTCCCACAGTCATAGCCAACGACCGGACTTCTCGCTACGTCCTCCTCGTCTCCCTCACCTTGTCTTCTCTCCTCCTGACTCTCTTCATTGACTCTCCCAACACAGCCACCTGCACCCTCCAGCAAACCACTTTCAGAGAGGTGTTTGCTGTGGCTGTTTCCACATTTTAGCCAAAACCATCACTGTGGTCTTGGCATTCAGGGTCACTGCTCCTGGGAGGAGGGTGAGGCATCGGTTGGTGTGCGGGGCACCTAATTTGTCGTTCCCATTGGCTCCCTGACGCAGCTGACTCACTGGGAAACCTGGGTGGGCACATCTCCGCCTTCACAGACCCAGACATGCACTCCAAATCTCGATGCGCCCTCTTCATATGCAGGGAGGCTCGGCCACCATCTTCTGCTGAGTCCTGTGGCTCCAGGAACTCGGGAGCTCCCAGGTTACCGGCCAGGAACCTGCCTGACAGCTTCAGTGAAGCTGAGCTCGTGACGGTCAGCATGCTGGTGTCCTGCATAGTCTGGTCACCTTTCCCCCCATCTACCACAGCCCAAAAGGAACAGCATAGTGGCCGTGGAGACCTCCATTTTGGCCTCCAGTGCTGCATCTTTGCTCCAAGTGCCTCTTTTCCTTGGTAAAACCTCAGAGGAACGCCATGCAAGGGGTAAGCAATAAAAAACGTCTGTGTTATTTTTATTAAAAAAAAAAATAAACAACACATTGAAAAGAGATATTTAGTAAAAACAAACAAACAAACAAAAACAAAACCTACATTTACTACTTACCCTCTTAATGAAAAAATATGCTCTGTGTGTTCTGCAATAGCCTCAGGAACTGAGTTGTCAGTTTCAGGAGCCTGAATGTCATTTTAAATGTCTTCTTCTCAGTGTATAGAATCTATTATCAAACTCTGCAAACCTTCCCTTATGAGGTCTGCAGGGATCTCATTTTACACCCATTTCCTAAACCAGTCCTCTCTCGCCAAGTTTTCTTCTGTTGCTCTTTTTCTGTTTCCCTCGTTCCCACACGCCAGCACTGAACGTGGGTTCTTGTCCCCCAGGACTTCCAGAGGCTGGCGTCAGCCTTAGCTCTTCCACTCCTTTGTATTTGTTATTGTGAGTGATGAGTGAGGAGCTACTATTTCTTTCTAAGAAGAACAACAGAGCGAGAGGCTCATTGTCACCTGTTTTTGAATCTCCCCACATGTGGAATCCACATGACCGGAGGTGAAGGGGAAACTGGGCTCAGGACTGGGGGATCAGATTTAGGTGAGTGGACAGACTAGGCTGGGTGCTGTCTGGGAGCTCCCAAGACACCAGGGGTATGTGCAGCTGCAGGTGGGCACTGCTGGGGCTCTGAGATCCTGATGGACAGAGGGGGTGACCCTGAGCCTGGGGTATATACCTCCATTTTTCGGGAGACAGTGGGACTCAAGTAAGGGGAACAGCTTCCCTTTGCTGGAAAAAATACAGTCCTCGGAATGGGCCGCAGGGAACAGAGCAGGGACTAATGACCGTTTGTAGAACGAATGATCTATTTTACTAAAAACCGACATGTACATCATGCAACATCTGTAGCACCAGGGACCAGCACTCCTATGAGAATCTAAAGCCTGATGACCTGAAGTGGGGCTAAGGCGGTGATGCTGGTGCTGGGAAGCAGCTGCAGATAGAGGAAGCTTCGCTCACCTGCCCACTGCTCACCTCCTGCCGTGTAGCCCGGTTCCTAACAGGCCATAGACTGGTACCAGCCTGTGGGCCGGGGGTTGGGGAGGCCTGATAAATATTACATTTTACAAAACGGCATCCACTGGGACCTCTTGGTCCCTTCCCTAACTTCACAAAGAGAGTACTCAGGGAGCTATGAAGACAAGGTCCCTTCTCCAACACTCTGGGCTACCCCAGGCACCCCAGAACCTGGGTCCAGAGCACACAGGGAGGTGGGGGCGGTGGAACTCACCTACTGCTCCCACCAACCCAGGGCACTGGGAGCCTGTTCAGAATCCTGCTCGCCATCCTCGGTGAGGGCACTGCTAGAACCACGGACACACTGACCTGCAGCCTGAGCCTCAGCTGGACTCACAGACTGGAAGCGTCCAGCTCCCAGAAGGAAGACGCAGCACGAGCCTTGTGCTTCGCCTTGCCCAGGGCTGGCGGAGTAGCCGCCAGGGTCTCCAGTCCAGCCCTTCCTCCTCCAGACACCACTGCGAGGCTACAATTAAAGAAAGCTAAGATGTAGCCGACCTAGAAGACAGAAGGAAGGTAAGAGCTGACTGGATAGGGACTAAGGTAGGAACAAGGGACATGTTCAGTGTGGGGAGGCAGGGGCAGAGGGGAGGAGGAGCTTCTTAAAGAGGAGGCAGAGGGCTCCAGAGCGAAGAGGAGCGGCATCCCGGGTAGAGAGTGAGCGGTGAAGGGAGCCGAAGAGGGAAGGGGTCCGAGGCGTGCAGGGCCATGAGAATAGGGCCTGCAGTGTGGGGGGCAGCAGGGGAAAAGTGGGGGTGCAGAAGAGGGGTCAAGGGGAGCCCCAGGAAAGGAAGACATAGGGTCCTTGAGCGGGGCCCAGCAGGCGGACGAGATAAGAGATCCCACGTAAAACTGGACACCAGCACCCCTGCAGGGGCCGGACCAGGACAGCGTCCAGAGGCATTTGTGTCAAACGTGCATGTGGTGGCTTGCAGAGGGCAAAAGCCTCCAGAAAGAACGACGGGTGAGCTGCAGTCACTCCTGCTTCTGCAAGGCCACGCCACTTCTGCACGGCCCCGCCCCTCCCACAGCTGGTGTTGGCCTGAGACTCCACCCCACACATCAACACCTGCTGCACAGACCAGAACATGGAGGCAGAGCAAATGGTCCCGGGCTTCCGGTCGAATTCACCCACCATCACCTCCACCCACCCCATTTTCAGATGGGTAAACTGAGGCCAGGAGAAGAGATGTGACTGGGCTATGGTCACCCAACACACATGCCATGGAAGAAACGCCACCAAGAATGCCACTGGGTGCGGTCCGAAGGAGGGGTGTGCTGAGTAGAAAGGTGGTCTAGGAAGGGAGAGGGCAGCTGGGCTGGTGCCAACCAGAAGCAGGCAGCTTCTCTGGCCTTCGATGCATTTCCCAGTCTCCTCGTTCTCCTTGTGTCGTGCTTCCCAAAGTCCCAACCCAAGTCCTGACGTAAGCAGACTTCCTGTGAAGCCTGGCAGCATCACACGGTTCTGACCTCTTGTGCCCCTTCCCCTGCCTCAAACTGATGAATTGCAGGGCAGTTACTTTCTCAAAGCTCTTCGCTCTCCCGGGAGCCAGCCATGCTAAGATGTGGAGGAAAAGCAATCAGGCAAAGGCAGCAGCAGGATGGAAGACCTTGAGACAGGATTAAGTTGGTACTTTGGGAGCAGACAAGAAGCCAGCAAGGTGAAAACAGGGAGGGGGCCACGTCACAGAGGCGTCCAGAAGCCTAAATGTCTGAGGCCCCACTCACCAGCCTCCACGTTGTATCCTAGGGACAATCGCGTCACTGGGCAAGAGAAATAGGCCCCAACGTATGTGGAGGAGCGTTCTGGCTGCACTGAACACCCAGGTGGGAGTGGAGGGAAGGGAGACTAACGCCTGGAGGCTCCACCAGCAGTTGGAGTGAGAGATAGGGCGGGACTGGAAGGCCTAGCAGCAAAGACAGAGAAAGCACAAAGGATTTCGGATTTGGTTTGAAGACAGAGCTCACATACCAGCTGAACTATTGACTGTACGTGATGGAGAAAGAGAGCGATCAAGAATGACCCAGATCCTTTTCTAGTTCATAAGCATGACGATTGGGTGTTCATGCTGTTGTGTGAGACGTGCCTACCTCGAATCTTGTTACGACATTAGCACATGACCCGTCTGATGTTAAAAAAAAAAAAGACCTGGGTTTTGGCCTAATCAGCTGGTGGGCAGTAGTGCCATTCACTGAAAACCAGAAAACAAAAGGAGATTTGGAGGCTAATCAAACGGTTTGGATAAATTTGAAATGCCTATGAAACATCAAAGTAACGATGTTCAGTAGGCAGGTGGGCTCCCAAGTATCAATCTAGTCTGGGATGCAAGTTTGGGAGACACCAGCAAAGATGGCATCAAAGCCGCCGAGGGAGATTGAGCCACCTGGAAAACCAGATTCAATGCAACCCAAGTCCGGGGACTATCGCCTGGAGCAGCCAGCATTTAGAGAGGTCATCCACAGAGGCTCAGTCAGGTCTTTGGCCAGGATTGTTAACCCAAGAAGCTCTCTGCTCCTGAGATCCAAACCTGGCATGCACAGGGCCACCCTGGCTGCAGAGGACAACACTTGCTCAGGGATGAAAGCAATACAGACAAAAGACCAAGAACTGAGATGGCGGCCTGGACCCATCAGTATCAGAGGCCTGCATCATTTGCGCTTCATCTAACACAGGCAGTTGGCACACACTCTCATCTGTTTTTATAAAAATAGTTTTATTAGGACACTGTGACATAACGGCATAAAGCACTACCCCATCTGACAGGACGCCTTTCCATAAGTGAGCACCAACGTAACTATGCAGCTTCCCCACGCACCCTTAGCCACTTAGTCTAACCCTGAACACAGAGTAAGACGTTCTCCCCACGACATGCCGGCACTCATTTCGGCTTGCTATAGAAGCCTTTCTAATTGACCTCACTCTCCTGACAGGAGGGACGATTGTCTGAACCCTACAAATGGGTCTGGTGCTGGTCTGACAGTACTCAGTGTGCTGGTCTCACACCTGCCCGGCAGTCACGGCACCAGATTCAATGACCAGCCAGGGACAGACAACCCAACATCTGTCCGACAAAGCATTCCTGGAAAGGCTCTGCATCAGGACAAATTTTCATACCACCTGCAGAGAAGAACTGCTCCAGGATGTAGTGGAGGCTAAAAGAAATTGAACCTAAACTCTTCATTGGGAGTGTCCAGTGTGGCCTTGGCTCCCCTTGCTGGGCGAGGCCTGCAGACCCTCCGGCTCTTCCTCCTGGCAGCCTCACCTACAGGCTGCATGTGGGCTGAGTGGGCCGCTGTGGCAGAGGAGAGAGATCGTCAGAACTGAGTAATAACAGCTAACGTTAACTGTGCCCATACAGCTCTAACCCCTCTGTATAAATTAACTAATTTAGTTCTCAAAACGATAAGGTACGTATTATCATCACATCCCACTCAGAATCTCGGAGAAATTCACCAACTCTTACCCCCGCCTCCCCCGCTCAGGCCTCCTGAGGTCCAGGCTTTTTCCCTCCGTGCTTCCCCAGGCTTTCCCGAGCCAATCTCCTTCCCTCACCAACGCTGTTGTCTGGGAGTCTTCCCTTCACTCCCTAGGCTCTTCTTCCCTAACCCCTTGAACTAGGCAGTCCTGAATCAACCAGTTCCCAGCTCCTCACCGGTCCTGAGAGCCCGCAGGGCCTGGCACCACTCGGCTTCCATCTGAGCCCTGTAGTCCCCAAACAAGGAGCGCATCAGCTGCCTCTTCCGGGGCAGGGGAGTTCTTTCGCTGCGAAGGATTCGGATTGCCCCAATAGCCTGCTCTTCTGCAAGTAAAAACAAAGGGCTACAGACCTCCTCTATCCTCATCTCCTACTCAAAAGTAACAATCCCATCCCCTGGCAGCACCTGCAGGCCATAGCACTGTCACCGTTCACCTCCCCCCAACTCTACAGAAGGGCCCTCACTCTGTTTTGGGCTGGGTGTCTGCGTCTTGAGGCCCAGTTCCAGCTGCTCCACGCACCAGGCCAGTTCCCGAGCCAGCTTCTCCGCCTGTGATGGATTGGGGACAGTGGCTGAAAGAGGGTATCAGGTCCCAGCGGCCTCCACCCCTATCCCACAGGGACCCCAAACCCCCACGTCATTTCTCTTCCCGTCTTAACTCTGCAAATCCGAGACCACCACTGCTGGCGCACTCACACCCAGAATGCTCCCGGGAACCCCACCCTTCCTACCGAGGCCCGCCCTTGCCTGGGCCTCGGCGCTTGGAGGGGCTTCCTCTGGGACCGGCTTTTCTGGGGCCTTCCCGCTTCCGTTCGACGCAGAAACCCTCCTCCGGGTTTTCTTCTTTTGCTTCTTAGAGGCTGCGTCGCCTTCCCCGCCTGCGTGATGCGTCCTGGAGGCGGCTTCGCTGCACGGGCGGTGCCCTAAACAGAGACGGAGGGACGAAGCCTTACCGTGGACGGGCCGAGGCGCCGGGAAGCGG